GGCGCGCCTGCAGGCTGGGCTCTTACAGAGCCGGCCCACGTTGGAGCTGCAGCGCCCTGGAAGTTAGTATTTTTCTTCTGTGAAACATCAGCCCTAAACTGGGAAGAGGCTTTCAGGTTGTTCTCAGGCCCACTTAGCATCTGGAACTGGTGGGTCCGGGGGCCCCGAGCAGCCGCCCCCGCCCGCGGACTGCGCGTGCTGGCGTCTTCCCTGCCCCCTCTGTGACCCCCGCCACGCAGCCCGCGTCCCCTTGGCAGGCAGTACGTGAATCTGAAGCCTTGGACCTGGGTAGCCCGAGCGGTCACGCGATGCCTGTTGGAATTTGGAATAAGAGAAAAAGGGACCTGCGAGAGGGCTAAGGAATCACCTGGTCCAGCTGTCGTCCCCAGCCGAAGGAGCCCAGGCACAGAAAAGTCTTAACATTTTTTCCAGAGACCACACAGCTCTGAGAACCCGCGTCACCTGCATCGCGATGTCTTCTGCTGCATCGCTGAAGGTGATGAGTGGTTGCTTAGTAGGGTGTTATTGGGTCTCAAAACACAAAGAAGCAAACATTTTAAAAAGGTGACTTAAATGCAGTACTACTCCATTCCTTTAGACTTTTGTTGGCACCGTAGTTGAATTCCTTTAGAAAACAAAATCCCAGCCCTGAAATTAATGAGAGGAAGCAGATGGAAGTCCTGGGACTTTCCTACACACCTCTGCGGCGCTGGAGCAGGCATTCCCAGAGGTCCTGGAGAGGGCTTTGGGTGACGAGAACAAGGAGGCCCCACGAGCAGCCACCCGGGTGGCCTCCGAGAGGAAGGCTGGTCGGTTAAGCTTGTAGAACTCCTTCCGGTGGGGCGCCGGGCTGGCCTTGTCTTCATTTCGGCCTCCCCTGCCATGAAGCAATGGTTCTGATTGGCTGTTAGGAAAAAGTAAATAAAGAACCGTCCAGAGTTGGGGAGTGAGATGGGCTTGGATATTTTGGACTCGGAGGATTGTTGCTGTTGTTTTTGGCCCAGAAATGTTTGTTGTGATTGCAGTCGCTCACTGTAAAGAGAGGCTGGGTACTGCTTGCCCAGCCTACTGCACCCCCCCATTTCTCTCCATGGCACCACCTTCCTCCCGTTGGCTGGGGTCTCAGTGTTTGAGGGCTCCCAGCTCCCCATCCCACCCCCTCATTTATAGCTAATTCGTTACCAAGTCCCTTCCACATTCTCTTGTGATAGCTCAGGAAATTGTTTTCCTGTCTCCATTCCCTCTGCCCGCTCTGTAAACCATGTCCACATTACAGTAATAGGCTCCCCTCTTGACTCCTGGCCACGAGTCCCTTTCTTCATTTTAATCCATCTTCTTTCATGCTGACAGATTAATACTCCTAAAATTCTGATTTGGCCACATCATTCCTTTCAAGGTATCACAGTGGCTCCCTGGTATTCACTTCTATTTAAATCTTCTCCAACCGATATTTTTGGGCATCCGTTGTGTGCCAGGGACTGTTACTACGTGCTGGGGTTTAAACTGAGAACGAGACCATATTCTTGCCCTTGATTTGTTGACTAGCGGGTGACACATAGCCACCTGGGAGAGAAAGGGACGTAAAGAAATAATCACAAAACTTTGCAAAACATCGGGGAGACACAGATGAGGGAGAAACATTTTCCTGCATGGGAGGAGCTAGGGAAATTATAGCTGGGCTTTGAAGCACGAGGAGGAGTTCAAGGAGCTGGGGAAGGCTGGCAGGAGGGAGGGCCTGCCAGGCAGGGGGAAGAGCTTGAGCAAAGACCCAGAGACGTGGAAGTGCTGGTGTGGACATGGTGGCGTCAAGGTCATTCTTCATCTGGGCATTTAAAACCTGCCTTAATTTCAGCCTACTTGACTGACCCAAGAGCAGCCCAACCCTCCGCTGCCTGAAACCCTTCATTCCGCGTACCTGGACGTTTTATCGTGGTCTTGTACGCCCCCCTCCCCCAGCTCGGAAAGTCAGAGCTCCCCTTGCTGGTGTCAGGTTTGTCAGGACGTGTATCCCTGCCCTCTGGCACACGCCCCCCCTTCCCTGAACCCACCTTCTGTGCTCCCCCACATTCTCCGCACTGACTCTGTATTCAGCCTGGACATATCCTGGTGGCAGGCCTTCTCTCCCCAGCCGCCCGGATGTGTCTCCAGAGCAGCCCCGAGGCTTCTGGTCCTCCGGCCTCTCCCTGGCCCGGGGGCACAAAGCCAGCTCCCTGCCAGCACCGGTGAACCTCAAAACTTGACTGAGTTTAACTTTCCATCCTGCTTTCCCTCCTTTCTCTTCTCCTGTCCTTTTCCCGCCTTTTGTCTGTCTTTCAGTTTGTGTGCAGAATGGTGACATTTATTTACATACGAGCAGATCTAAAGGCTTCATGTGTTTGTTGACTGGCTTCTCTTTGAAGGTCATGGATTAGAAATGCTGCGCTGGTAGGACCCAGCTGACGACCGGAGGGGCCCTGCCTTGAGGCTGCTCTGCTGACTCTCCCCTCCTTCGGGGTCCCGCTGTCACCACCCCTGCCCCCCCGCAGGATCTGTGCTCTGAGGCTGGCCACCTCTCATCTTCTGGGCCGTATTTGCCTTCTTTCCTTTCCCCAACCCATCAAAACTGACTTCTCCGGTTTCTGGAGCCTCGTTGGCCCGATGAACTCCTTCAGGTCCTGTTTAACAACCCCTGTGTGCTGGCGGATTAAAGGCTCCTCCCAGCCGTCTGTGCCGGGGACAAGGGAGGAAATGCGGCTTGTTTGCCCGAGGTCAACAGCTCAGGTTTTGAACCCTAGCCTTACAGCCCAGCTCAGTTTCGTGCTCTTTCTAGTGTATCATTATTTCCTGAGAGGGTTGTCTTTGGAACAGCTGAATCAGAATTAGGATCTGGTGGGGGAAAAACCCCAGATTCCGGGAATGGGCACTTTAAAGATGGCCTCAGGCAGCAGGCTCCGGTCTGAGGACCCCTGCCCTCGTGTTTTTACAGTGAGGTTGCAGTGACAGGTGGTGAGTTAAGCCACTTTATCCTTGGCTGAGGCCTTGACCTTGACTCTAAGGAGTGAGCCGCGGAGCAGAGCCCTCTTCTGGCCAAAGGGGTCTTCAGTTCAGTCCTGAAAGCATGCTCCCCTCCCCCTCCCCACGAAGGCTGGGAAGCCCAGCCCCCATGCAGGTCACTGTGAATTATTTCTGGGCCTGAGCCAGTGCTGAGGGAGAAGGCCCAGGGTGGGTTGGTCTGGAGCCCCAGGTTGCCTGGGGTCACAACGAGCTGAGGCTCCCAGTGCCACGCACTGCTGCCGTGGGCGGGCTGAGCTGCACTCTCTTCCCCAGAGTGAGGTCTGCTCACGGACACATCTTCATTCTGCAGGCCTGTGCTTCACCCCCTCGCACCTCCACCCTCAGTCTCCCCGTCTGCAACAGAGGATGGGCACAGCCTGGAGGGCTGTGTGGGGGCCGGTGCCCGAGCACTCGGAGCGGAGCCAAGGCCCGGCACCTAGTGGGCGCCCGCCGTCAGTTCTCACTCCACTTAACTGCCTGGCACCCAGTCGGAGCTCGGCAGGCAGGCGGCGCTGGATGTGCTGGAGAAAAAGTGTGTAACCTCAGGCTCCCTGAGCCCTGGGGGCTTTGTGTCTGAAGGGCTGAGCATCGCAGCCTTATATTCACACCAGCCAGTGAACCCTGCCAGCTGTGCAGTAGTAATAATAATGAATTATCCACTCAGCATCTTCTCCCCTGTCCACTTTCCCCCTCCGGTTTCCCTTTAGCTTCCTCTGAGAAGAACCTAAGGAGCAGACAGGCAGCAGTTCCCTTTACTGATGCTTACTTGTCCCGGGAGAGTGGTCTCTTTTTGCTTGCCTCTTTCTTTTTACCTAATCTTTCAACCGAACATACAGCATACACTGTCTTCTCCGATGAGCCCGCCTGGGTGGGTCATGAGTGATACCCCGCCCGGCAGGGCAGCATTCTCCCTCATCCCCTCTCCTCTCGGGCGTGGTCCAGAGGACAGAGAGCCAGTTGACGCCACGGTTGTCCCAGAAGGGTGGCACCGGGCAACCCATGACCTAGGCCGGGCAGCGGGCGGGCGGGCGGGCCTGCCCCACCCTCCCC